CAACGATCCATATATCAAAGTTTAAATACCCGGTAACGATAAAGTCGGCCGTGAATTCTACAAATTGAACAGTGTTTTTTAATTTAATGTGCCAATAAATTACGTGCACGTGCTTGCCACGTATTTATACGGAAATTATCGCGCACGGATATGGAGGGGGCGAAATGGAGTAAATGGAGCATACCAGGCGTAAAATACAGCCGCGTAGGATCCTTCGGACAGGGATACAAAGAATCCGGGGAAAAAGCGGCAGCAGCCGTGGAATATTTGAAATCGTTGGCGCGATGCGTTCTCTATTTTTCGTTCGACTTTTTCGCCGAATCGCGGCAGTGGATTTACATGCGCAAAACGGCCAATAAATCCGACGAAATATCGGAATTACCGTTCCTCCGCGAGTTCCCCCGCCTGTATTTCACCCCTCTCCGTTTATCGGGGCAGCCTCGTATCTCGCCGCTTTTCAGCCTCTTTCTGCTCTAATATCCCGCTGCAAAGGGGAACGACGGGGACCCCTCTTTGAAAATTTTTCCCCGAGGCTAAGCGGTAATTTCACACGCTACGAGGACCTTCGACGGGATCGATCATACCGGATATACGCTGCCGGATGTACTCGCAAACTTCCTGCCGCGTCGCCCGGAGAGCCTGCGAGTGGAGGATTGGGGAGCGAGGTTCTTCGAGTTTGGGTACAGAGAGATTGTGTAATGCGGGGTGTATATAAGTCTATAAGTGGGTGCAACTTGGGAAATATTGGAGATTTTCTCTTTTTCCTTTTTTTTTTTTTTTGGAGCCTAGAATGATCCATGCATAGATCCATTATCCATCGAGACATTAACAATTGACATATCAGGACAGAGTACAGCCATCATCACATTGCTGCAACCGTTGGATTACTTTGTTGACTGATGAATTAAATTCCAGAGCTGCTACAGGATGACCAATGTATAGAACAGTTATGTCTAGAGATATTTGTGATTGACATTACGGTACGTAGTACGTCTATCAACAAAACACTGTGACGTTGGGTATATCTGTTAACTGATGTTTTTGATTTTATAGCAATTCTGGAATAATAAAAAACCGATCCATTATTCATCGAGGTCTTAACAATTGACTATACAGTACTGAGCCCAGCCATCATCACAATACCGAAGTCGTTGAATTAATTTGATCATTAAGGATTTAAATTACACAGCTATTGTGGAATAATCAATGCACATGTTTATGGATAGAGATGTTTACAATTGATAGAACCGTACTTACTACGTCCATCAAAGGAGTACTGTTGCCATGGATTAATCTGTTCGCTGATGACTTAAACTCTATAGCAATTGTAGAATGACCAAAGGCAGATCCCTTATCTTTCGTGGTAATAACGAATAACAACACAGTACTGTGTAGAGATTGGGTAATGCGAGGTGTGAATATGTGTACAAGTGAGTGGAACTTGTTTTGAAATTCTAGGGATTTTTTCGGTTTGGATAGAGATTGTTTAATATGTAAATAAATGCTTGGTTGAGGTGGATGAAATTTGTAAAATTTTAGGGATTTTTATTAACAATAAAATTATGTAATGCAAGGTTTGAATAAGTGTATAGGTGGATGGAACTTGTTTTGAAATTTTAGGGATTTTTTTTTAGTTTGGTTAGAGATTATCTTATATAGGGTGTAAGTGAATGTATAGTTGAATGGAACTTGAGAAATATTGGGGATTTTCTTTTTTTTCTCAAGTTGGGTAATGTGGGTGTGAATAAGTGTATGAGTGGATGGAACTTGTTTTGAAATTCTAGGGATTTTTTCGGTTTGGACAGAGATTGTTTAATATGTAAATAAATGCTTGGTTGAGGTGGATGGAATTTGTAGAATTTTAGGGATTTTTGTTAACAATAAAATTATGTAATGCAAGGTTTGAATAAGTGTATAGGTGGATGAAACTTGTTTTGAAATTTTAGGGATTCTTTTTTCAGTTTGGCTAGAGATTATCTAATGTAGGGTGTAAATAAGAGTATAGGTTAAGTGGAAAGGACTTATGAAATTTTAGGGACTTTTTCAGTTTTTCTAGAGATTGTTTAATGTGCAAATATGTGTGCTTGGTTGAGGTGGATGAAACTTATGAAATTTTAGGGGTTTCTTTATAGTTTTGGTTGAAGATTATTTAATGTGTAAATAATAATAAATAAATATAAATTGAAATGGATGGAACTTTTGAAATTTTGGGGATTTTTTAATCGTATGGCTAGTGATAATTTAACGTGTAAATAAAAGCTTGGTTGAGGTGGATGAAACTTGCAAAATTATAATCATATCGAACATTTTCATCTAAAAATTATTTTTATTATCTACAAATATCTATATGATATATCTTAATTTTCAAGGTATTTACCAAAATCTTTCCCATTATACAATTGCACCATTCAAATACACCTACATATGAACTTTCTATGTGTAACGTAACATTCTGTATATCCATCATATTGTTTTAAACATTTAACTTCAACGTAAATATTCCAGCTGTTACATATAGCAAATATGTAGAAACATTCCAATACTTTCGTATATAGATGCACAGTCATACATGAAAGTACTAGAATGTTTATATACACTGTTTTTAACGAGTGACACAAATACATGTTAAATTGAAATGTGTAAAACAGTAATAATATAAATAACATTGGAAAGTTTCGAGATTTTATTAATAAAATTAAAATACAACTCTATTAATATCAATTAATATTTGGAATATATTTATTACAAACAACTATTGATTGGTCGCAATAAATGATCGAAAATAATATATATTATTAGTCGTAAACACCATTCGTTACAAAATAAGAAGTTTCGATATTGCATTGATTCATCTTCTGTTACTTACGACAGCCTTGGACCGTTTTTCCACGGAACTCACTAGCGCCACCATGACCCGTATCTCCAACGAATGTACTGTAAATATTCTATACATCGTTGAATTACTTTTTAATTTAACTCATTTGTGTTATATATATAAATACAACAATTTACTGTTTTATTTCCTTTATTTTACTGAAATAAAATATTTTTGCAATAACAAAACAGTTAGAAGTCTTAGAAGCCTTTAGCCAAAAAATAACTTCACGTTCAGACGTACTACTTTTAATCCTCTATCCTCGAACTTCAGTAAATTTTTTAGTAACTCCTCCCAGTTATTACAATTAAAATACTAACATCGTGTTACTCTCCTGCTAAGTGTTATAATTTTATCTCGATAAAAACAGACAAGAACGTTAGCTTGAACTTCGACTTCAGGTTCTATTCATCATACCAAAAATTATTAACACTAAATCTACCATGGTTCAAACTACACTTTCAATTAGAAAATTTGCATTTGTCGTCTCGACTTCTCTTTTAACATAATCAATTTTTCAATTCTGAAGAAATTACCAATCTTGGAATTGATAAAGCACACAATATCTCGTCAGCAATCAGAAGAATATTATTACTGTATTAATACAGTCGAATTTTGATAACTCGATCCTCTTTAACTCAAAAACCTCTAGAATACTAATTTCGACATATTAAATTTCCCATTTTGAAACTCCTTTCACTCAAAAATCTCTATTTTCCACAAATCCAGGTGAGAAAAATCGTCATCTTCGAGAATTTTTTTCAAAGAAACCATAAGATGTTTTAACTCTAGGTTTTCACTGTCTCATTTATCCGTACTTTAACAATACTCGCAATTTTTTTCAAAACACAATATTAAAAATTATAGAAATTATGTGAATAAACATATAAGTAGGTTCAGAAAACAGGTTCGGATGGCTAAAACGATAGCAACCATTTTGTTTATCGGAAACGAAAAAAGCCAACAGTATTTTGACCAATAATATCGTAGTTATGCTCCGAACTATAGGAAGAGAAGTCAAAAATTTAACACTAAACCTACTAAACGTCTAAATCTCCGTTTACCAAACTTTGATTAAAAATTTCTTAAAATTTCATTTTTGGAATTTTTCTTCCACTATACTTATAGTAATTTCTTCAGTATCTCCTATTATTCCATATTTTAACCCTTTGCACTCAGAAGGCGCCATTCAGTCGCCATTTGATCAAATTTCGAAAATCGATATTAATTAATATATCAAATTTAACCCTCTATGGGCCCGTGTAACTTTCAAGTTACATGCTAATGTATGGCTATTTTATTAAATACTGCGATTTTTTTTTCGATATATTTCTAATTATTTTTACAACACCTCCCGTGCTTCCATTTTTAAAAATCCTAATTCTTTTTCATTTACCGGTTACTCGATCATGATAGGTTAGGTCCTCTATGACTTATTCTCCGCAAGATGGCGTGGGAAATTATCTTGTCTATCTATTGCGCATTATCTTGGCACAATACGTTGTTAATTCAAACTTTCAATACGAATTCGTTATAATAAAATTGTCAAAACTGCTGAATTTATTGGTTGATATTTGTCTATTTTATGTTACATACAATTCTTATAGTTAAGAAAAATATATATTCGGTCCATAGAGAGTTAAGATAATGTAACGGTGTGCGAGGTGTCGAAATCAAATAATTCTACGTGTCAATTATTATAACACTATTTTTTATTTCCTGCTAAAGAAAATATCGTCCGCTTTATAGCAGAAAATTCTTGAACTCCTGCTCTTCTTTAGCGAAAAAATCGTCGAGTGCAAAGGGTTAAATCTTTTACTTCTTTTCCATTCATTTGACCCTGGTAGGTTTAGTGTTACACCTTAACTGACAGGCACCTTGCAATTCAGATACCTGTCTCACGGTTCGAGTTATCGAGATTCGGCTGGGAGCGGGGTGTCAAAGGTAGTTCAATGGATGGGGCAGATGATAAGGCAGAGGGAGCCAGTGGTAGAGCAGTAGCAAGTGTCTGCCTCGATTATTACTCATGCAAGCTGGTCGGTGGTGCAGAGCATGTCGTGCATTACAGAAATAATTAACCCCGTGTATAATCATTAGGTGGCTACAGCGTCGTCTGTCCTTTCAGGAAAACACTGCCCTGTTGTAGCTATTCGGCGGCAGACACCGGCGGCTTGGCCAGAAGTTCTGTCCTGGTTAGAGTCGACCCTCGACCCGGAAGCGCGAATTCCGGAAGTTATGCAACCATTGCCGACCTAGAGCCACTCTATGCGAGACCCTGCGGTTCCAGGGCCAGCTACTACGCTTCCAGCCATGTGACGCATCTGAGCCAGGTATGGTGCAAAATCATTTCACTGAAACTTCGACAAGATATTAAGTTGGTGTACCCAGATGGTCTCGAAACCAGGTGATACGTATAGTTGTCTGTGAATGTTTCAGAGGGTAGAGTGCCTTAGTCGTGCAAGTAGCTAACGTTTCGGAACTTTTCTCGTGGGTTTCTCGTTTGGAAAAAAATTCTGGAATTTTTTTTTTAGACTCGGGTGCCTTTTGAATTTGTCGTGGAATTTTATTTTTTATTTTTTAATAAATAGTGCGAGATATCCAGGTTATTCACTGTTTTCGAATATCTCGTTCTTTAGCTAGCAGCCATTGTTGGTGAAGAGTAAAACATTTGAAGCAAACAATTTTTTTCTTTGTTTTTGAACTAGGATGTCTTATTTAAAGTAGAACGTGGAATTTTCTTTTAAAGATTCGTGTATCTTTTGAATTTATCATGGAATTTTATTTTTTATTTTTTAATAAATAATGCGAGATATCCAGGATATTCACTGTTTTCAAATATCTCGTTCTTTAGTTAGCAGCCATTGTTGATGAAGACTAATACATTTCAAGTAAACAATTTTTTTATTGTTCTTGTTTTTGTCTTTGAACTACGATGTCTTATTTAACCCTTTGCACTCGATGATTTTTTGACTAGAGAAGAGTAGAAATTCAAAGATTCTCTACTAGAAAACTGACGATACTTTTTTGAGCAGTAAATAAAGAATTGTATAATAATGGAATTGTAGAATTGTTTGATTTCGATACCTCGAAACTCACTGTTACATTACATTAAATTTGATATATTGATTAATATCGATCTTTCAAATTTTATGAAATTTGACTGAAGCTCACCTCTCGAGTGCAAAGGGTTAAAATAGAGCGTGGAATTTTCTTTTAAACATTCGGGTGTCTTTTGAATTTGTCATGATATTTTATTTTTTATTTTTTAATAAATAGTGCGAGATATCCAGGATATTCAGTTTCCGAATATTTCGTTCTTTAGCTGGCAGCTATTGTTGGTTGCAAGTCAATTATACGAAGTAAATAATTTTTTTTAAATTTTTATTTTTGTTTTTAAACTACGAGGTGATATTTAAAATAGAGAATTTTTGGAGAAATTTAATTGGTTCGTAAAAATAGCGGCAATTTTAGTAGAAAATTGTGTCTCTTTTACGATGGAAATCGCCTTTAAATATTTATAAGTTAAAAAATGTTTGGAATATCGAAAAAAGCCTGTGCTATATTTTAAAGTACTCTGTGTAAAATGTTCTTCTTAAAGTTGAAGTAAATTTTACGTCGACTAGCTAAAGAAATGTAATTTCGAGAAAGATGCAAGGGGAGATTAATTTTCTTCCCGATGGTAAAATATCCGCGAATTTTATCTGCGACCAGCTGATACAACACTCTGTACACTTTAAATTGCAAGAAAATGAGGAACGAAAAATATTGGCCTTTTTGTGCCTGCGGGATAATCTATTCCCTTAAACGATTGCATTTCCACCTTGCTCGCCTGGAAATTTACCTGGGTCGATCTGCTAAATTTTATATTCGATTGAACGCGATATACGATTTCATGAAGAGCGTATGAAATGGGTTTAAATTCTGTAAAACCCATTAAAGGTTACGTGCCGTATCCGTTGATGGAAAAATAAGACTCTCGGAGAAATATAATATATTCGTGCTAACAAGTGAAACATTAATATGAAAAATAAAAATTTTGGTAAAATTTCGAAAATGGTAGGGTAAAAGATAAAAGTATAAGTACTTATGTATAGTATGTACCAAGTCAGGTTTAAATTTTTAGAAGCCCTAAATGCTTAAAAAATTCCTTTTATTTTCATTGCAACATTTTCTTTTATTTTTCTCTCTTTTTCTCACACACATTCGCATAATTATTTGGAAATATTATTGCTATTACCAATATTGGATACATAGAAAATTTAAGGTGTTTTTCTTTCTCTACTACTCCCAAACATGTATTGCTTAACTCTTTGAACTCGAGAGGCGGTTTTCAATCATTAATTTAATAAAATTTTGGAAATCGGTATTAATTAACTCATAATATTAAATTCAAAATAATGTAAGAGTGTTTGAGGGTTGAAATTAAATAATCCTAAATAATTTACTGTTCTAAAAGATATTATTTGTTTCATGGCAAAAAATCTTTGAGTGCGAAGGGTTAATAAGCACCTATTTTACTTATTGGTTAATGCAGCACTGGATATATGTGATATATATAATACGACGATATGTTGGTAATTGGAACGAATATCACTATAATTATCGTCCTTTATCACCACCATACAGAAATTATGCGATTTTTCTTTGTTTTTGTTGCTGAAAATTTGAACTGTTTTTGCAAATTCTATAAAGTTTTTCAGAATAACTCTCCTTTATTTTTATTCATACTAATCGACAAGTGTAGTATGTTATTTACAGAAGTATAATTAGTTATGATCTTCAAAATACAATATTCAATTATTTAGAAGTATCACTCCTACGCTGAAACTTTTAGGTTAGGTTCAATATGGCGGCAGGTGGTAATATGGACTCAGCGTGGTCCACATTTCTTTCAATTTTCTTTTTTCCTCCATTTTCTACTATGAAGGAAATACACGAAGAAAAGAGTATTATATACGTTTTTTGTTCTGATGCTTTTAAGGTGTTAAAACCAGAAGAACTTTAAGTTCAGTCAGGCATGGGTCCATTCCTTATGCACTGGAAGTGACTGTAATATTTTTATTTGTGATCGTTGCCAAAGTCTTAGGAGACTTTTATTAAATATCAAATTTACATTTAATTTTACTTTTTGATCTCATTTCCAAAATTTATAATATTTTTTTCTTTAAATGATTCTGAAATTTTCGCCTAGTTATAATAAAGAATAAAAATAATCGAAATTTATCAACAAATTTACTATTTACTACAATTTTTACCTTCTTAATTGAAATTCATTTTACTAGCCTAATTTTTTGTATCAAATCTTCGACAAAATTTCGCGAAATTAGTATATTTTTAAAACAGCGTAATTTTCGCTGTTTACCATTTGCGATTTTTATATTTTTAATCCTGCTGCGCCAAATATAAAAGCATCAAATATAAAATATAAAAAGCACCAAAATTTGGCTTACCAAAAATAGGAATTTAGTTTTCAATAATTTCCCAATCGTTAATTGCCCAGCTTCTCTCCTGCACCAAATATAAAAAGCACCGAAATTTATTTTACTAAAAATAGGAATTTAATTTTCAATAATTTCCCATTCGTTAATTGCTCAGCTCCTCTCCTGCGCCAAATATAAAAAGCTCCGAAATTTACTTTACTAAAAATAGGTATTTAATTTTCAATAATTTCTTAATAGTTAATTGCTTAGCTTTGTAAAATTAACATTTAACGAATAAGAAGATAAAGGTGGTCTTTTCACGTAAAAGTGTATGTGAATTTCGTCGTACAGCGGAGCACGGCATAAGTTTCTCCCGTGCTGGAACGTTCGTTGCGCTGTTTAAGGCACAAAAGCCGCAGCGACTTACGACATTGAATAAAATTACAAAAGAATCACTCTCGGCTCGTATACAGCACCGCAGACAGTGACTGCGGCTGGATCGGCGGACTGGAGAATTTTCTGAGTGTTTAAACAGCATTCCGCGTTCCTGAAGATCGCGTTCGCGAGCTGCGACCCGCGCATACGATTGGACAACTCGAAATGTCAGGTCATTGTGTTTCTTCGAATGCCGTAATGGGCTTAAGAGCGGCGAAACAGTCCGCCGAAACAAAGTCGATGGTAGACGCGAAGCTCTCATTGCACGTTAGGAAATCCGATTTTCTCTCAGCCGTTCATTCTTTCACCGCGCCACCCCCACTTCTGTCTAACATCGTCCTTTCACTCGGTAGCGGTAACGGAGACTGCGAGACGCTTCCCCCACCACCGTTCTCGTCTCGACCAGCCTCGTCTGGCCTCGCGTGCAAAGACGAGAGGTACACTCAAAAACTTTATCGAATTTGCGGTCGTAGGGGGCCGCTTTCCACCGACAACTTTCTCCTCACGACCCTTGCCAGCCCTTCGGCTCTTTATTCAGCTATTTCAGACCAGCCAACTTACAACCTCCGTCTAACCGAGCGAACGTACACCGGAAACTGGTACACGTGTAAACCTCTCTCCCTCGGCGCCTTTCCTTCTCGCTCCCTCAGCTCTTGTCGCTGTTGTCGAGCCTTCTGCTCGGCGTCCTCCTTGGAGAGACAATTTTCTTCGGGTAAGAGGTAAGGTCTGGTCCCCTTTCCTGGTCGAGGGACACACGGGCCATGTGTCTGTGTGCAACCGGCTGATACTTGATTTGTGACACGGTTTTAGGGGATGAACGATTCGATTCGTTCCATCTTGTTGGCTTTGGGACTACGTGCAATGAAATAGGGAAGTGTTTTGGAAGACTGTCCTTTGTATGAGATTGCAGAGAGCTCGTGCAAGACTGTTTTGGGGTTGTGTGGTAAGGTCAGGGACTTTGCGGTTTCTTCTAACGTTAGGGTTAGCTACTTGTGCTGTGTAGCTAAATACAATATAATATGTACTGTAAGTATAGTATATTGCATTAATATGTAATACTGTAGTGTATAAGTACAAAAATACCATATACTGAATACTTTAATTTTACATACTGTAAATATCATATATATAGTGTAGACCAATAATTTTCAACTAGTGTGTCCTTATAATTTTTGGATCTGTTGCGAGATTTTTCAAAATATGCATAACTCTTTTTCCTTGAATTACAAAATGAAAAAATGACATTAATATACTAATATACTATACTGTACTTATAATTTATATAAAAGTGTGATGATTATAAGCAGCTAAATATTATTTGCTTTCAAGTATGGTATTCTGAAAATATATTTGAAATTTTCAAAATTATATGATGCATATAGTAAAAAGAAAATTCTAATTTTATTAATATAATATTGGTATTTTCCTTTTACTATAAAAAGAAAAGGAATTTAACGACACGTACGATATTTATT